TAAATATAGTCTGAAGTTTTAATAATACTAAATTAGCCGTCTTAGCTCAGCGGTAGAGCGCGTGGCTTTTAACCACGTGGTCGTGGGTTCGATCCCCACAGACGGCGCTGCTCAATGGATTTGTTGTTTAATTTTTTTGCCATTGTCATTCCCTAACATTGTGTGTTTTTGGGGATAAAAATAATTGCAAATCATCAAAGTGATTGAAAACTAAAAAGAATAAGAGCGTCCTATTTTGAAAGTTAGTGCCATAAAACTTTTTTGGTTTTGAAATGACATGGAACCTACCTGTCGCTAACTTACACTAATACTCATATTAACTAGATAGTTCAGTGGTACATCAATTGAGGGAACTATGGAAACTTTATTAAAATAACGACGTTACATATTGTTAATAGCATGCACGAGCTTTGCTAAATTGAAATATCCTTAAGCAATATAATTGTATTAGTTTGTGGAGAATATAAAGTGATTTGGTTGTTATGTATTTTTCCTCCAAAAGATAATAGTGACTCGTGAGAGGATGAGAGTCAAGTATTCAGCACTAAAGCTTAATCAATACCGCTGAACTTTCAAAGCATTTGCGACCCAATGACTTTTTCAATTGGGTTTAATAATGGATATCCACGTCTAAAACTTTTTATATTATCATTCAATTACAAATTATGTTTAACATATGACTTTCAAAGTAATTCTGATAAAAATTAATATTAATTTATAATATAATCAAAGAGAAGGTTCCACTTATTGTAAAAATAAGTGTAAATAAAATTACTTTATCTAATAACTCATTATCTACAACAAATTTTAATTATTCAATCATTAAATTAATTTTTTTAATAAATAAATCAAGTTTACATAATGTAAAAATTATATTATATCAAACAAATGTATAATATATTTTTATGAGTGTTTATTAATTTGAACTAATATAACAAATTATTAGATAGTTTTTAAAATTTTATAAATATTCGTAGATTTAATTTATTTATTAAAACTTTTAATTTAATAATTAAATTATTAAAATTTATATAAATCATAAATTATTAAGTGAAGTAGTTTTATTTAAACTTATTATTGGAGTAAGTAAATACATTCTTGTAATCATTTATTATTAGTTGATTGTTGATACATGTTTTATTTTCTCTCTTTCTTTATATTCCTTTTGAAGCCATTTTATAGGTATTGTATCAAGTGAGAAATTGTGAGAGATAAAAATTATAAACTTAGATAATGAATGAATGATTAAAATTAAATATAAATTTACATGATTATTTCAAATGATTATTTGACCAGTTGACCACTAATTTAATCACCCATATATAATTATATATCTAAATTTATTGTTGTTATTTTTTATAATAATCAAGAGTTTTCAGTTGATACATATAAAAAAAATTATATATATATATATAAAGACTGTCAACAACTTTAAAATATGATTTTTATGGACTTGATGGTTGAGTTATAATTATATACTATTTTGATAGTTTATGTCAAATATATATTAAAATAAATAACAAAAAGAAGAGGGTAATATTAATATATAAAACAATGCATACTTTCTTATATTTTAAAAGTATTTTAGGATAAATATTAGTATTAAGTACCAATTTATTTGGTTGAAGAAATTAAGAACCATCCTAAACCTTTGATTAGTTGTTACAATTAAATAATTGATAACTTTCTCATGTTCTTGTTTATTTTCACAAGCTTGCGTAAATTACAAAGGATCACCTAACAAAGAACGTGAATCAAAAGGTGATGGAATACAAAGAGAAGATATCGCTCAACAATGAGTCGTGTCGCCAAGCAAATGCAGCAAAATTCACCTTTCTCATAAAAAGATAAAAACTTATAATTTATTACCAAATCCTTTACCCAGCATTAAGATTCAAAAAGAGACATCGAACAACGATAAATTCCCATCACTCACTTCCATATTCAACATTCAATCTATATTTTCTTTTTTCTTGTAACGTACGAAACAGTTTATGTAAATCTTTTCTGCTCATTTTTATTTTTCTTAACGATATTTGTACGGCTTTCATACTCTTCTTCTACCTCTCTGGAAAGGAAGTAAAACATGGACCATTTCTAGCAGCAGGACTAAGTCTTAAGCTGATATTCTTTGGCACGTGAAAATTTTAGAAACTACTTTTACAATTTATTTTAATACTTGCTTATATATGTAATGTCATCATTTGAAAATAAGTGACATCAAAAGTTTTACTAAGAACGTTGATTGAGCTACTAAATCGAAATCATATTTCACGATCATGAACTGAATTAATGTTAACTTTACTTAGATGATCAAATCAGTATCAGATAAAATTAATATTGACGTTATTTAGAGAGTCGAATTGATATTATTTTTTTTCTTTTTGAAAGTGTGCGCTTAAAGAATATGAAAAAAAAGGTTGAAATATTCACTAAAAAGATCAGTTATCAGTAGCATGGTTAGGAAAAGAAAATTAAGGACATGCACTTTTTTCTTTCCATTGATTAAATAATTTTTCTGGCCAATACTTGGGTTTTATGTAGTTTGAACACTGCGATGAAAATCTTCTCAATTGTCAAACAAGCATTCTCAATAATCAAATTGTAGGGTGTTGGAAAATTAGCTGTGTCAAAGTCTTACGTTTCTGAAATTGTCTTAAATGCAATCTTATAGAGAAGTACATAGTTACGAGCTCTTAGAGGCAAAGCAGTTGTTGAATTCTTGCATATTGCAGTTAAGCTGTCACACCCAACCTTTGGACAATTTAACTGCTCTTTCTTCTCAAAAACAATAATAAAAACAATAGCCACCGGCACTGCTAGATGTACTGAATACTTTACCTCTTCAACACCTTTCTTTTCTCTTGAGATGAAAATTGGGTATTGGTTACCTATAACTTTAGTTAAATTTTTCAACCAACACCTCTAGGATATAAAAAATGACATAATAAGGTTGAAAAAAAAATAAATCAAACTCCCAAATGAATTAAAGTCGTCTCAACTTTCTCAAAATCATTGTCTGATCTATAAACAATATATAAAAGGATGCACTCTTTTGATGTTCACTTTTAGAAAGTCAATTATATTCTTAATATTTTAATTTTTAATCTACTGATGTATATGTTAAGGATGAAGTAGAAACAAACATGTATAAAAAAAACTGCTAATCCAATTTTTTTACTGCAAAATAAAAACTGTTCATATATTTAAAAAATAACTACTTACTTTTTTTTCTTCATGGAGGCACAGATCACATTTTTTCTTCCTAGTTATTTCTAAACTTGATTCTGGATCAAATTCGGCCCAACTAAAATGGCCTGACTTTCCCACCCCATATTCCAAGGATTTTTATTTATTTGGATTTTCTATTATACCCCTTCCCATGGAGTGATATTGGGCCAACATCATTCTTTTTATTTAACAATCTTGTTAGTCACAATTGATTGAAGTTACAAATTTTGATGTTTTTTATTTAATGAGTTTCTTTCTTGATTTAAAATTATTGTGATTTTCAATAAAAAAAAAAAGTGTTGGAAAAAAATGTTAAATAAGGTGTTGCCCATATTTTTCATGGGCCTAATAACCGACAAGTGGCAAAAACTTTTTCTTTTGCCTGGATATATAACCATATAGTCATTTTTTATGGAAAATAATTTTGTTTAAATTAGATAAGATTAATATAAAACAAAATCTTAAGTACCTCCTTAATATCTAACACAATTGTATATTACTTAAATGCAAAACTTTTGGTTAAACCAAAGTAATTTTATACCTATTAATCTATGTCTTCGGTCAAGTGCCAACAACTGTGGTATTTGAAATTCACATGCACACGGTATAGACAAAAAAAGCTTTGCCCAATTTCTAAAGCATTTTGGGTCAATGGCGCATTTCCCATTCGTCTAGGTGTTGAATTTTCTATAAATGAGCTCGTAAGAAGGGGAGAGTTATGTTGGATAAAATTCCAATAAATTTAATTGGGATAAAAATCTTGGGTTCTGTTTGAAAGTTACTCCAACTAATTAACCATCTTGGGGGATTTGATCCAACAGGTTGAATGGAAGACACTGTCCACTCCTATGACAAGTAAGAAAAATAATGCTGCATATTCATTGTGGGAACACAAGTTAGTGTACAACATTGAAATATTAGGCATTTAAGTGAGAATGGATAATTCGCGAAATTAGAATGAATGAAATCGATTTGGTAAGTTTAGATCGAATCTTTTTAGTATTTAAGTCAGATTTAATTCAACTCATTTAAAATATGATATTATACAAGTTGGATAACAAATTTTATAACGCCTTAATCTAATCTAATCATATATAATAATAAAAATTTAAATAATATAAATATTTGAATGATCACTTACTCAGGATAATACTCTTTGTCACTTTTAGTTAATAACATATTTTGTGCTTTTTAGTTAATAGTATTATAAAAATACATCATATTTATTTTAAATTTTATTTTACATTAATGTTAATTGTTTGAGTCGATAACAATATAACAAATCAACAAATTAACAAATTTATTTTATAATTTACTTTGTATTATTATTTACTTTATGAATTAATAACATTGCATTTGTAATAAGATATCAAATGATTTATATTTATTATGAGATACTTAAATTTTTACAAAAAATAAATAAATTTAATTATGTTTGATCTTATTGAATTATGGGTAAGACTAGATTTTAAAAAAATGCACAAACTCGACTTAACTCAATCCATCAATTTTTTATTATGTCAGATAATATATTTATCTAAATCCAACTCAACTCGACCTACTTACACCTTTATGAATTATAATATAAGTCTGTTTGAATATAAGTTTAAGGTTTGAATATAAGTTCAGAAGTACTAAGTTAAAAGTTTCTCTATCAAAATACTCTTTATTTTAAAAACAAAATCTTAAAAACCTCTCTAACTTGTATATAAAGAGATTTTATGTGATATATATGGACTTGAAGTAAAGAAACATGATAAATAAAATAATAATAAAAAATGTATGACTCTTCCTTCCTTGTATGAGCAATAAAATGAAAAACAATAGCTTATCGAACAATGAATGGTAACTACAAAATCTCATCAACCCACTCTGAATTACTTACAAGTGCTACCTGCAAAGTGAGCACCATAAAATCAAGGGAACTGGAATGAGCCTCCAATTTGGCTACTGCCAGAGGGAGGATCAATAGCAACCCAGAGAAGTGAGATAGTAATTGATATTAGACCAGACCACACAAACACAATCGTTGGTGTCCTACCCCTTCTACCCATCAACCCTTTAGCAAAGGGATACAAATGAGCCAACACCCAAAAGCTGAAAAACACACCTCCAAGCAAACTGCTCCATTGCTGATCCTCACTATATATGGTCCTGCTAACAGCCACAGCAATTGCTATCAAGTTAACCATCATGATTGTGATTGGTGGTATCATCAGAGACGTCCACTTGATGACATATAGATCCGCATACTCATCGTTTTCGTCATCACCGCCAGATTTTGATGTCAAAGTGAACGAAATCTCAATGCCAGCAGTGACCTTAAGCAGACCCTGAAGCACAGCAGCAAAATGAGCACTTGTGCCTCCAATCAGCCAGAACTGTTCATTCCTCCACCACTCTTCAAGCTCAATCCCTGACCACTTGATTTCCAATGCAGCAAGGAACACAAGGGTCAAGGTTATGCCTAAAAGGTACACTAGGAAGGTAACTTGAAGGCTCTCAACAATGAACTCGCCAGTGAAAAGTGAGAGAGCAGGAAGGAAGCAATAAACAATGAGGAAGATTGAAGTGAAAGGGTAGATTCCAACGTTGAGGTAAGCAATTCTCTGAAGAAACTTCAACCTTGAGCTAGCTAGAAGAGCATTGTTGCGTGAAAAGAAGATTTCGACTGAGCCTGTTGCCCATCTAAGAACTTGGTGCAGCCTATCTGTTAGATTGATTGGAGCACTGCCACGGAATGCATCTCTTTTGGTTACACAATATACTGATTTCCATCCTCTATTGTGCATTCTATAGCCTGTCACAACATCCTCAGTGACTGAACCATAAATCCAACCAATTCTTAGTCCCCATTCAGTCTTGTCCTCATACCAGCATGAGATGACATTGATGGCCTCAGCAACGGTGGCAGCATCGAGAGGATCACGAGGGAGAGTTAGAGCGCCGGGTGGACGGCCATATTTGATAGATGAGTGATCAGCAAGGGGGAGTCCTTGAAACTCTGCCACCTTTATTGAATCCACAAGAAGGCTTGAGTTGCCAAATTTCTTTGGAACAAGAGCAGTGGTCATTTCTTCATCCTCAAAAACATTGCCATTCCTCAATGATTGTTCCTCGGAACCAGCCTCAGGGACAGAAGCCACTGTCGAGGATTTCTTGTTCTTTCGACCGAACCAACTGGTTTCTTCTTTCAGCAGTGGTGGATCAAAGCCGTAGAGTGCAGTTCTTCGAAATAGGCAACCTGTGCCAACATACACAGGACCTTGAATTCCATCAAGAGCTCGCATGTTGACATCAAAGAAGACTGTGTTATGATTGGCGTAGCGGTCATTGGGGTCGATTCCTTCAAACCTTTGAGGAAATTGAACATAGCAAAGCCTCTCCCCGCCACGGTCCATCATGAAGCACATTCCTTCTCTCAAGGCTTGGGAGTTGAATATGTAATGGTCACAGTCAAGGTTAAGTATGAAAGGGCCATTAGACATTATGGCTGAGGCTCTAACCAATGCATTCATGGCACCAGCCTTTTTGTTGTGATCATAGCCGGGTCGTTTTTCGCGTGAAACGTAGACAAGCATGGGAAGACGAATGTCAACTTCAGTTAAATCCAAGGCATTTGATTCTGATGCTGTGCCTGTCAGTGGTTCATCACTTGGGGGTTTTAACATTACCTGCATTAGACAGAGGAAAGATGATTGGCACATTTGATGATTATGTCAAAATATGGTAACATTGTAATTCAATGTACACAACAAAATAAATAAATAAAAATGAACATGTTAGGCTAATGAAGAATGAGTCCCACGTGTGCAGATTAGTATTTAGTTATCAATTTTGAAATACTATATGGATTATGTACATGAATCCAAAGAAAAGAATGAGTCTCATAAAGATTGATAATTAAATTACCTGTATGATACTGGCATGATCACCCCTGGAATGTTCTGGTGCAGAAGTGGTCCAAGTACCAGGCCAGTGAGTACCATCAGCCATCCATGTAGCTTTAGGAAACTTCAAATTCTCCATTGGTTCTTCATGTCCATTTTCTCTCCATTTCTTCAAAGCTTTGATTTCTTCTCTAGCATTGTAAGCATCAGAACGCCGCCGGATCGAATCAGGGAGGCTGTTAATCCGAACCTTGAACTCATCATACTCACGCTTTACACGCCTGCGGTCCCTCACAAAGTCAGAGCGCACTTTGTTCTTGAAGGGATCTCTCTTCAGGTTGAAATAAGATTCCGGGTTCCTGGGCTCAATGTCATGCTTCCGACAAAAAGGAACCCACATATTGGCAAAACTTGCAGCCTCAGCCATGGCCTCAAAAGTTAGAAGTGCACCTCCGTCGTCAGAGACGTAACATGAAAGTTTCTCAACAGGGTAATCAGCAGCTAGAATAGAAAGAATAGTATTTGCAGTAACGAGTGGTGGTTCTTTTTCTGGATCAGCGGTTGACACAAACATATCTATTCCTGGAAGATCAGACTTTCCTGTAGGATTAGTGGGATTAGAAGTTTCAAACTTCTCTCTCAAAACATCAAGATCAGCAACACGGTTTATGGGGAAGAGCTTGGGAAGCTGGTCAAGCAGCCAGGAGAATCCAAACCAGATTTCACAAACCACAGACATGCCCCACAGCCAAACTGCATTTTCATTGGGGTTTTGGATCCTCCACTTTAGAAATAAAGCTAGAACCACTAGACGAATCAATATAATGAGTCTGGAAGTCAAAATAACAAAAAAAATATCATTAGAATAGTTATAGTTCATATGTTGATTTTAAATACTACTGTTTAGCCCGTGGAAGCCATCAAGTACAGATTAATTTTTAATTATTAACTCTGAGATACTGTATTTTACTACATATAAAGTAAATAGAACATGTATCATACAGCGATCAATCAATTTCAGAAGCTAAACAAATAATATTAATAACAACAATCAAAATTATGAATCAACAATTATAGCTTCTCCCATTTCATGACTTCTTTTATTAAAAAAAAAAAGCTAGTTGTTTACGAAATATACTAATAACTCAAAAAGAAAGGGGGGATTTATTTGCAGAGAAAGCAAATTCAAATTGAATGTCAGATAATGGAGATTTCAATTTGAGTCAAAACTATCATCCATAATCCATAACACGGAACAAACATTGCATTGACACAACAACCTTAAAATCCAATCTCACCAATGCATCTCCACAAGCATTAAAAAAAATCTGAAAAACACAAACTAATTGGAAAAGAGTTTCATACCGATAAGGGCTGAGGACTGCAGCAGAAATACTCAATTTCCTGGTCAAGGGTTTCCACTGTTTTTCGCTGAAGACATTAGGATCACCCCCCATCCAATCAGAGCCAGCAACAGAACTTCCATCAGGCTCAGAGTCTTTAGGCCACATAGCATTCCCATATCCATAACTCCCCTTAGTCTCAAACAACCACTGAGCATGATCAAACTCATTATTCTGGCTCCTGGATTTCATCAAAGACAACCTCCTCTCCATCTTACTAACCCCAGCACCAGGAGGCAAAGGCAGTGTCTGTTGGTTGGCCCCACCTTGCACCTCAGGCTCCTTGTAAGGGTCCTTGCAACCAGGGCAAATCCCATCACCAGTCCTCACAGCATCCCTATAACAATCCCTACAAATCTTGTAATCACACTCACAAGGGACAACATCCAAACCCCTCTCATCAGTCATGACCCTCCCATCACACCCAGGCACTGCACAAGAGGACCCTTTTGCACCAGCCATCTGGGGGTGGCTGGACTCGGACTCACTCACCTTGTCCTTCAAATGCGCACGTGTGAGCTGGTTGAAACCACCGGTGAACATGGAACTCGAAGCGTATTGGTCCTCCACCCTCCGAGAATTAGACCTCTCCAGAGAAATCTCCATAGGCTGGTTATCAGGCGTTAGAGGAATGTGCACAGTGTAGGTAGCAATACTTCCATCCTCACCCTCCTGATCCAAATCATTGCTCAGCTGCGTGATCTTCCGAACCGTAGAGGACCCATGTTTGAGCTTTGAGGCCATGGCGATGAACAATGAATCACGACCAAACCTGCAATTGATCACCCCGACCCACTACTTCATTTTATATAAAGTATGAAACTTTAGAATTGTTCAAAGGCGACAACGATTCAAGGACGAAAAAATGAAAATAAAGAAGCACTCAACGCTGTGTGAGAGACTCTGCGTCTGTCAAGTGGCGAGACGAAGTATACGTGAATTATAAAGAATTGGAATCGGAAGGAAAAAAAAAAGTTTTTTGTTTAAAATGTCTTACCAACTCAAAGACAACCAGCGACGATGGAAGCGCGTGTCTGACGCTGTCAAGTGACAACTACTCTCTCTCTGTTTGTATGAAACAAAGAAGACCGAGTCCAAGGCAGATAAAAGAATTTCAAAAAACAGTAAACAAAAACGACATAAACCAAAACCCGTTAATAATTCCGACAGAGAGCTCGCGCAGTGAGAGAGATCGAAAGAGAGAAGAGAAGAAGCAATGCCGGCGAGGCATGGAGGTTGGAGTTCAAAGGTGCAAACATTTTGAGGGGTGTTTTTGGTACAAAATTGATGACAGCTTTTACGGCGTGAAAACTGAGAAAAAGGAGAGAATGTGGGTTGGAGAAGATGGACAAATAGGAAAATTGGAATGAGAGTAAATAGATTTGATGTGCGTGATTCTGTTCATTTATTATTACTGCTAAGAGGTTGTTTGGGGAAGTACGAAGTGTCTGATTCTGACGGAAATGGATTCTAGTTTTACTTCATGCGCTTTCTACGCGGTCCAGGATCAGAATTTTTCTACTGTGGCAGCTCTACTGCATTCTAATTTCCATTTTTACTATGCTTTTTATCATCACACTTATCATAAAGTTGTTTTTTTTTAAAACAAATTATACTTTTAATCTCTAATTTTTATAGTATACAATTTTAATCTTTTATTTAATTCACTATTTTTAAAATATGATATTTAATCATACCATCACTACTTTTGCTGATGATTAAATTTTAATATAATTTAGTGACATATCACATCAATCATTAATTACATGTTTGAATTTAAACAAAATTCTCCAGAATGTTTGTTATTCTAAAATTTGTGTGTCTTTCCAAAATAATAAGAATTAAAAAAATCAAATAAAAAATATCATTTTGGAATTTTATGGGTAATTTGCTTATATTAATAGAAATTCAATATTTTATGAATCTTTATATAAAAAATTAAAAAAAATCAATAATTTAACGAAATAATATAAAAATTTTAATATATATTTTAATGAGTGATTGATATTTATTTTTAATAAAAAAAGATATTTAATATATATTTTAAAATGTTATATTATTAAATATTGTATTAATTAAATATAAACATAAATAAATATTAATACTTAATAATTAATAGATATCAATTTGATGGAACTATAAAATTATTTTATTTTTAATATTAAAATAACTAACTAAAGTTATTTTTTCTTTTAAATTAAAATTAATTCTTCGAGTTTAATGATAGTGCATTATTGCATATTTAAACAAAATTATACCATCAATTAATAAAAAAATCACACCTAATATCACACTTTTAATATAAGTATTATAAAGGCAACAAATTTATTATATATAATAACTGTAATCAAATGATTGTTCCGTGCATAACATTTTCCTCTCTATTTATATATATTGACTTCTAAAAGTTAGGCGTGAGGGTTTTTGTAACTCATTTTAACTTGTAAAAAATATTTAATTCATTTTTTTCTTCTTTTACAAATGCTACAATTAGGTTACTTATTTTTTATTAATAAAAATATTATAAAGACGACAACAAAATTCAAATACAAGACATTATGGACCTTAACTTCTAGGACTTATTATATTTATTTGTTTGAGACATGTTTATAAATGAAAATAAATTAAATGCTATTTAATTTTTAATCAAAATATATTTAATAATTATTATTTAATCACAAATTATTAGGTATAACTAGACAGATATTTTTTGTAATATTTTTAAGAGATATATGTAGAACAATTTAAAATTAGTAAATAGTTAATGGAATAAAAATTTCTAGGATGAAGACTAAAATTTAATTATTGTATAAAAGGAATCAAAATGAAAAGGAAATAAAAATTTGAGATTTTAAAGAAATAAAAGTCTTTGTTTATAAAAAAAATAAAAAATAAATGTTTTCATTTATTACCTATGTTATTTCTTACCTAATTAGGATAAAATGAGATGAAAATGAGTTGTCATTTAATAAATTTTTTTTAATTTATTAATGACTTAAATATGTTTTTAACAATATTTTTAAAATTGGGTCGGTTATTGAAGCGATTTAGATGCTAATTCATAATTTAATGATTAAATCCTAATTAAATTATGATCAAATTGATATCAATAAAATAACAAAAATTATTATTAACTCAAAAAATATTAAATAAATATAATATCATAATTTTAATTGCAAGCTTGGGGAATCTAAATGTTACATTTGATTTTTAGTGAAATTGTTGAAAAGAAGATCATTTATTAAATGGACATCAATTGTCTTATGGTAGAGACTTAAGTGGTCAAGTTATGATTGTTAGAATATATCACGTTTTGGACTGTTATTATTAAGTAAAAAGAGTTGCATTCTTATTATTAATTATAACTTTTGACTTTATAATAAGCACTTGATTTAACAAGTATACACCAACATATTTGAGTATTCTTTTCATTATTATACATGTTGACAAAATTAATAACAAAAATATCAATTGTCACTTAATCAAATTCTTTTATTAAAACAAATATTTAGTCAAAAAGGTTCACAAACAAACTCTTACACACAATTAAATATGTTTAATATGCAAGTTAAATGGTCTGAGTTAAGAAGTCTACATCCTAAATAAATAGATTGTGATTTTTAGGGTCGTAACCCATGTGAAATGTGAGTTTAAGTAGGTGACTCGCAGGAGTTGGTTCATATTCCCAACTTTAACTTTTATAATAATTATTTTAAAAGTCACATACATTATAATTTATAATTAGTTAATAATTAAAAAAATTTATACCAACAATACATAATCATGAAACATGTATCTAAATAGTAAAATATGTTTAGATGTCATTTTGGTGTGTACCTTGAGAGAGATAAGAATTGAAAAAAGATAAGTGATTAATATGATTGATGATGTGATATAATAAGGAAAGAGATTAAGAAAAATAAATGTTAGGTACTATTTAAAGATGTGTAAATGTTTTAAAAAGTAAAATATTATCTAAATAATCATTACATTATTTTAAATTATTTTATTTTATTATTTTAATTTCATATTCAAAGTTATTTTAACTATTACACTAATTAATATAAGAATATACAATATCTTTTTAAGTATATGTTATTTTAATTTTATTTTAAATTTGGTTTGAAATATTTTAAGATGTAACATAAGGTTAATAGTTGAAAGCAACTATTTGGATTTCTGTTATATGGAGTTTATGACTTCATAGGAACTGTATTGTTTTTAATAATGAGATGCTGGATATAATGGAAATTTTTTAGGCCATTAAATATCAATCGTAGAAATGGTTGTGTGTGAATTTGAAGAGGGATCAATTATTGTATGTTAATTGGCTTATGGATCCTATTTCTTGTATCAAGCGTGTATCCTAGCACTGTAATTTGTAAACAGGTTGGAATTTCTTTGGTAATCTTTTATGGGAAGTAAGGGGTTATATTGCCTTGCGGTTTGAGTTTCAACATATTCAGGATGATAGAAAGTGGACACATGAATGACAGACTCTATGGGCTTCCGTGTAATTGATCACTCAATGATTGCAGTAGAATACATAAATGTCATCATCAACATGCAATGGGTCATGTGGAAGATATGTTTTACACCACATCGCAATAGAAATTTATATTACTCATGATAGGAACATATAATTTTGGAGTAGTATAAGACTATTTGTAACTCCTTTCTTACTTCTTAACATTTTTGTATTTGGGTTTGGCACCCGTAGTGCCTCTTTAATACATTTCTTTTAGCTGATAAAAAAAATAGTTGAAAGCAAAATATGAATATATATGTACATATAAAGAATGATTTATTTATTAGTGGAAAAAAAGCTTTTAAAATCGGTTATTTTTAACTTTTAAAATCGGTTCCGTAACCGATTTTAAAAGAGCCAATTTTAAAAGTTAGACTTTTAAAATCAGTTAAATAACAGATTTTAAAAGTTAACTTTTAAGATCGGTTGTTTTATAACCGATTTTGAAAGTGGTGGCTCAGAAAAAAAAAATTAAACTGGAACGGGCCGTTCCAGGTTGTTAAAAAGGCCTAAAATTATGGTTTGGAACGGGCCGTTCTAGCATAGTATGGCATGAGTTAAAACCAATCCAGAACGGCCGTTCTCCTTGCAGAACGGCCCGTGCTCCTTGTAGAACGACCCGTTCTCCTTGCAAAACGGTCCGTTCCAGATTCAAAATTTACCCAAACTGAACCTATAACGAAAATAGAGACACTAGAAGAGCATGAGAAGACGAAAATAAAAATGACAACAAAATTTTCCTTTTGGAAGACTTTAGAAAATGTGAGCGCGAGAGAGTAAAAAACGGAATTGAGGGAAAGATTAATGAGAATGAGAATGGAGAGAAATATAAAAGGTTTATGACGATACTTTTAAAATCGGTTATTTAAGAATCGATTTTGTATACTACATACAAAATCGGTTTCTAAATAACCGATTTTAAATATAGCACTTTTAAAATCGGTTCTTAAATAACCGATTTTAAAAGTAGCACTTTTAAAATCGGTCATAAAATAACCGATTTTAAAAGTACTTTTAAGATCGGTCACTTTATGACTGATCTTAAAAGTTATGTCGGATACAACTTTTAAGATTGGTTCTTTTGTAACCGATCTTAAAAGTTGTGTCAGACATACCTTTTAAGATCGGTCATAATATAACCGATCTTAAAAGTACTTTTAAGATCGGTTAAATTTTAACCGATCTTAAAAGTATTCATATTATTTACAAAATTGTCACCGCGTTACTTTTAAAACTCCGATTTTAAATCTAATTTTAGCACTAGTAATTTACTACAAATATAAATCTTAGTAGTCTTATTTTACTTAATAACTTATTATCCATGTTAAATTTTAACTATTTAACTATTAAATTAAAAATTATTAATGAATAGATTATTTTATAAATTTTGAATTTATAATATAGAAAATAATTATTAAAAATTTAACAATTAGTTTTGTTGTCGGAAGTATCTTCTAATTAAAAGTCAAAAACTAATTCCTTGATATACAAATATTCATTTATAGAATTTAGATATGCTTCTGCGCACATAATCTGAGAGTTGAATCTCATACTACGTGCTAAAAGCAACATGATTATTTGTCTATTATAATATATAAACTATATATGTTAATACAAAGTTCAATAACTTTTAACTATATCGCAATATACCATTAAATAATAGAGTCTTCATCTGATCCAATATTCTAATTAAATACTCTTAAAACTTTAAAATAGCAGGAATCTTCTTAACAAGATCAAATAAATTTAATACATGTTTGAATGATATTTTAAGCTTAATTTTACGATGCAGAAGGAGGTAAATTTACTATTTATGATATCCTCCAATTGAATAGCTGCAAGTGAATCATTTCTGCAAATAAATAAATAAAATATCAAGTGAATCATATCGTTTCATTTTATATTTCTATCCTA